CAAGAGACGAGAAGACAAAAGGTTCTGGACTGAATGGTAGCAAGCATTACCAGAGTTCAATCGCCTCTTAATTTCCTCCTGAATTAGGTTTCGATCTGTTATCGTTGTTCCCAAATATCTGAACTGTGCCATATTTTCAAAACATCTGTTTCCTATCTTTATGTCATGATTTTGTCCTGCATTTTGGTGACGAGACAGTAACATATACTTACATTTCTCTGTGTTTACTTCTAGACCAACCTCTTTACTTGCGTCAGTTAAAGTTTGTTTTTCTTTATGGTATCTACATTATCACCCAGTAGATTCACATCATCGGCGTAGACCAACAGCTGTTGTGTCCCATTTAATTTCAGTCCAACCTGGTTTCCCTGGACCTTCCTAATTGCATACTCTAAGGCAAAGTTGACAAGGAGAGGCGATAAAGCATCTCCTTGTTTTAGACCATTCTGGATAGGAAATTTATCAGACAAATATTTACCTACACGGACTTTACTATACGTTTCGTTTAAACACATTTTAATCAACCTAACTAGTTTCATGGGTATCCCAAACTCTATTAGAATACTGTACAATACTTCCCTCCTAACTGAATCATAGGCTTTCTTGAAGTCATTAAATAGCTCTCTCTTCCAACAGGAAAGAAAATTTATATCCCACTTAAATATGGACACGGTGCATGTAAGCAACGCGTGACACTCCTATCACTGTACTGCCCCACGATATGTTTGTGTTAACGTGTTTCTAGAGAGGAGAAACTCTTAATTTTAGAGGGGCATTAAATATACTTACAGGTACACCTTTTTATTAGTTCCCGCGAATGTGGTCATCCTAGAGCCTTTATGTGGCTATAAAATAAATAATAATTAAAATGTGGCTATAAAATAAATAATAATTAAAAATTTAGTGTGTAATATTATTTTTCAAAGGAGAGCAAGACTTTAATGTTCCCAGATAATTCAATATATTAGTGTCTGGTTTATCAACCCCTCTAAGATTTATGTTATAAACTGAACTACTTTTCACCGACTAATGTATTTTCTCCTCGCACCTGTGTGTATATCATATTTAGAATAGAAAAAGGAACGATATTTAACATGTCTTCTAGAGTTAAAAGGAATAGCAATAATGGAGTATTTTCATCAATTAATATCACAGGAGAAAATAATTAGCACCATTAAATTTATTTAATTAAATTATTAATTCAATACTTATTCTTATTTACAGTTAAAATGCTATAATTTCAATCTGTGTTCCCTACAGCCCATAACATATGGGTATGAATCTTACTTGGAGGTACTGAAAAATGTCTGTTTCGGCATTACTTCAGGCAAAATAATATTATTATCGAAAGAGAAATATCTAAGTCACCTGTTAAGACGTTATAAATTCAAGGAACGAAATACTATATGGCTCGCTGTAAGGCTTATTAACTTTCAGCTTAGAGTTCATTTCCCCTTGATTTGTAAAAGTAGGCAAATATTACAACACATGTAATTATATTTTTACACAATTCGTTTACATAAACATCGAACATGGCTTCTCTCCTTAAGGAACGCTATAGGACGTTTGAAAATACCTTTCAGGGGGTAATATTTGACTTAATACAGAGGACGTAATAGGATACTGCATAAATCTGCATTATACAATACATCATAATGTTTACTCTTCACCAAATATTTAGAGCCATAATATAAAGATGGAAGAATTGGGTTGGTCATAATCACGCACAGAAGAGAGGAGAAGTCTCTAATTCACTCACTCATGGAGCTGAGCCCTTCTTGAAAAGCTGCCAATTGTGTATCTACTCAAGAACTTGGAGTTTATGAAACCCGAAGGGTCAATACCGTGTTCACAAGAGCCCTCCAGCAGTCCCTATCCTGAACCACATAAATCCAATCCAATCCATCCCATCCTATCCTATCTCTCTGATATCCCTCCAGGTATGGGGGGAAGCTGAGAATATATTGAATAAGCAGTATCGGACAGCCGACAAGAGGTGGTCTTCCAGCTTTGGGTTTGGGCGTCGGGTTAAAAATTCCTCGCCGTAAAAAATAAGCTTGTTAAGAAAATAGTCACAAAGCCTGGGACCTGGACGGATCCTGTGGATAAACGACCTAGGCTAAAGAAAATGGACAGGAGATTTGGTACTTGGAATATTAGAAGTATATATGTGTATATAGGGCGGTTCGCTCAGGGAAGTGGCGGAAGAGAAGTGCATACGAAGAAACACTAAAAACCTTGGAGAGGAGAGGCCATTTCAGAGATGTGAGAGTAGCCAGAGAAGTATGATATGAGGAAGTGGTTTGGATACATCTGGCTTTCGACAAAATTCTATGCCCGTCTCTTGTGAATACGGAAATGAATCTTGGGGGATGCCATATAATTTTGTGAATTTCTTGACTAGGTAGTCAGGTCAGCAGGAATATACTTGTATATTGGTGAGATTTCAAGAGAAACCACCCGCATTTCATCATTTCAATACGCTTTACTTTAAAGAACCACTGCGAAACAACTGGCGCTTTCATCGTTTCATCATTTGTTCTACTAGTATTTCGCGCATCTAGTCCCTAAAACCCCCGGATCGGTGCCGAAATAGACAACAGTTGGGGTCGTTTCTGGCGCCCATAAAAATATGTTGACTGTAGCTTGAGTGTGGTGCTAATTCAAATGCTCTGGAACATTATATATTGAATTTATAATATATATGAAAATTCTGTAATTGCATCTCCGACTGTCAAATTTTGCTTGCTTTCAATGTTACGTTTCCTTAACAATCCATAGAAAACATTTGCAAGTTTCTTCGTTATGCAATTGTACCAACGTAACGAACAGACATAATACAGTTAGTAGTTATGACACAAACCACAACATCGACAAACCAGTGCTGCAAGATCCCGGGATATGTGCGAACACCATGAAAACAAAAAGCGAAACAAATTAATAGAATTATATACAAAATCAAGAAATTTTGTTTTAATTCTGATGTGAGGCAATCAAAACACTGCAACAACAACAAACTGTGACGAGAACAACCAAATATATTTTTTGGTTGTCGAATATACGAGAGACGAAGTTTTCATTTCTACCAAAATTTAATCATTTTCTTAAATGGCAACATGAAGCTCTAAGACCATGATTGTTGTTACAGACTGTACATGAAAATGGTGTTCACTGCAGTAGCTTTCATCTACATCTCTCACTGAGATGCAACGTGCTAAACAGAATTAATTACGGGAGACGTCAAGCTCTCGCGTCGGTTCATTGCTAATGTGATTTCTGCTTCTGGATGATGGCACAGTTTAAATGTAATGCTTTCCGAAACTTCGGCAATTCTGTCTTATTTAAGCAGTACTCCTACTCAAAGCAGGGTCCAGACTGAAATAAGTTATTCGAATATTCTCTGATTATCATTCGAACCTACAGCTTAAGGAATTACTTACAAATTAGGAGAATTATAATATTACCCTTTAACTTTAGAGCCGCGACATAGCTCATACGGTTAGTCGCTGGCTTCCCCGGGTTCAATCCCGGGTCTGGTCAAGTGGGATTTGTGGTGGACAAAGTGGCACTGGGGCAGGTTTTCTCCGAGTATTTCGGTTTCCCCTGCCAATCTTCATTCCACCAATTGCTCCACAATCACTCTCACCTATCATCTGGGACTGGTAAAATAGGCCAGAAGTGGCCTCAGTACAATGGACTTTGTCCCACCCCACTAGCAATAAAAAACTTTAAATTTCACTATTTATCTCATTGGTTGGTTTTACTTATGTCACGGTTTGCGGTCTATGACTATGACCGTCGACACAATAAATTAAAGAGATCGTTTTCGAACGAAGATTAATGTGTATGTATATAAGCATAGATTTTATGCTACATATTTCAACCTATATATACGTCATCATCTGGCATTCTTATATGAACTAAAAATCAAGAACTATATATATAGGTCAAAACATGGAGCATAAATCTAAAAAAAATCAAACTCCGTGATTTTAGTCCGCAAGCGAACTATACCAACCGAGCGACCGCCGCTTGTTGCTGAAATTAGTGCCAACTTTGACGGATAGAGGGTGTCGCGTGATCAGCGCAATGAAGCCCCACGGCCGTTAATTTCGGTTTTCTAGACCGGAGTCGCTATTTCTTTGAAATAGCTCCTCAGTCATCCTCACGAGGCTGAGTGGACCTCGTTCCAGGCCCAGTACTTCTCAGATAATCTGGTAGCCCCAGGAATCGAACCCGGACCTCTGTATCTGTAGCCAGGAACTCTGACCACTGGACCACAGAGGCGGTAAGATAAAATCTATGCATATATATAAAATACGTCATTAATTTTCGTTTGAAAACAAGCTCTTTCATTTATTGTCGTGTTGGCGGTCATGGTCATAGATCCTAAACACACAACAGGATGCAAACCATAAAGTTTACAGTTTACGGTACTGAATATGAATACGGTCACATGTATAACTTGAAGTACCTTAATACAGAACTCAAAAACACTCTACGACTGCCTACAAAGAGATGATCCTCACAGCCCTATATCATATTTGGTGATTTGAATTTGTCGTCAATACTATATAACGCTTACATTTAAATACTATGTATGATTAATTATAAAAATTAGAAACATCAAACGTTCCAGAAATGTGCGACATTCTTGGAAAGGATTAACCGGCTGAAACCAAATTTGTAATCTACTTCGTCTCTGAATATTCGTTGTTCCTTCACTGGCCACTACGACAAACATACGAATTCACTCTCTAACACCAAGAACGAATGAACACCGAAAATGGAAAAAACACGACTAGGAAGACAACAACAAACGCCAATAAAGTGGAAGACATTAAATATTATTTGTTTCTAAACGTAACAAAATAAGACACAGTAATGCACAAATAAACAACAAGAAATTAAATCATGAGTGTGAATTAAAACAATGAAACAAGACAACAACTAAAACATTTCGTTTCGAACAAATCAGAAAATTAAAAACGTACCACAAAACCATTTGCGAAGTTTTGTGTAGTTGCAGATGATTGTAAGATATATCTTTTTTGAGTGGGCTTTTTTTTTGAGCAAGAAGTTGTATTTGAGGATGAATACTGAAGGAGTGGAAGAAGAAATTCGCCACCTCCTCCTCCACCACCACCACGACCCCCAACCCAACCGATGAACACGGTTGGGTGTGATGAGACCTTAGCGAGGGGTAGAGGTCACGAGGAGGTCAGGAGACCTGCAACAAACACATCAAGTGTAAAACAACTCTGCTATAATTTCCCCTTTTCCTTCTACCTTGAAACTTCAGGGAAATTGCCTCACTTTCTCGATGTGTATGTGACCAGTACCAAGAGGTTTCTTTAGGTGACTGCAATACAGGTCGAGGTGTGATATAATTAAATTTGAAATTCAGCATCTAAATCAAATATCTGCCTTACTTTAACAACAGTAGTCTCTGTCTAATTCCTAACACACAGCACGTTCTTTTCTTTAGATAACGACCACCGCATGTTATATCGTGCAGACATATCAGCCACCGTACGAAATCAGCAAGGGACAGACTTGCCTACAGAGCACTATGTGTACCATATTCAACAACACACGATAACACTATATTCCTAATTAAATACTTTATTTATCAAGAATTCATACCAAAACTTGAGATTAGAAAGACTGTCACGCCTTGTTATTCGTAAATATGGCATTCATAATAAAAATAACGCACAGAATATATTGTACTTAACAATGTTCTAAAATTACCAAATTCCATTCCACAACAGAATATGAGCCCGAACTAACATCAAGATCTCTTAAGATATAAGATATTTCTTTGTTGTTTATTCACACATACATTGCACATGGTTCCTGAAAGCGATAGAGGCTACGCGTTCAGTATTTCGACTTTACGTGTTCATTAGTGGTTGATTACTATGTTTATAGCTAGCCCAGCTTCAATGTTTAGTTTCCATTACGTCCATAATAGACGGACACGATAGCCGAGTGGTGTAAGGCATGTACTGTCTTCGCTCGCTCGGAAGCCGGGATCGTAGGTGCGAATCTCACACAAGACATAGATGTTTGGTATATATATGCGTTTATTCTGTGTTTGTGTTGTCCTGTGTTTATGTAGAGGCCTTGCGACGGGGTAATCACTCGTGCAAGGGGTCCTACCGTCTGTAAAATGATGAGAATGGAAAAAAAAAACAACCTCGACACCGTAGGGTATAAGACAAACGGATTAAGTAAGTGGCCATAAAATTGAGTTCGTCCTTCTTAAGCACTGGTACGGTAACACAATTAGTTCATTAGTATTGAAATCCTGCACTGATCTTGTAAAACGAATGCAACTTCTATAACGTGAAATGTAAAATACAAATACAGTCTTAGGCTTTTGAACCCAAAAGAATATTCAGTGCCTCCATGCACGCTTGTGCATTTGGGATCGCAACAGGAAGCATACGTTACAGCAGCACTGAATATTCTTACGAGTACATGCAATGAAGTTTATTCACTAGTCAGCATGGAACACACACATGAAGGTCGCGCATACCTCTCGCTTGCCGCGAAAGGCGAAAATGTTTGTTGTTATAGAAATGGCCTACATTATTAAGAAACATGTGAAGCAACAACGTTCCATGCAGAAAAACGTACAAACTAACAACGAGTAATGTAGAGCAGTGCGGGGCCACTTGCAGAACCCCAGCATTCAGTAACATGTGTCCAAGATTCCCAGCCTGAGTCACTTCAATCAAGTCCATAACTCACGTCTGTATATTTCACATCTATTTCAATATTATCCCACTAGGTCTCCATTATGTTCTTCAGACATTCCAATACTCATCTTTCCCCGGCGTGATACCTAGCACTCCCATCTCTAGCCCTCCCTCCCCCCTTTAATTTCTTCTAACCACTTTGAGAGAGAGCTGAGTCTTTCTCGAAAATCCGCAGGTTGCTCAGCTACTCAAAAATTTCCCAATTTTTACGGAACGAGATGGTTCATAGCCGTCATCAAAAGAACCCTCCACTGATCCCCATCTAGCCCACACGTTCCAGTCTACTTCCCTACCACCCGCCTTAACACTATTCTCCCAGGTACTGCTAGTGGCCCCTACGAAACATTTCATATACTGTGAGAAGTTTTTAGCACCACGACAAACCCAAACACTGGAGGACTACCCCTCTTCGGCTGCCCCTGACTGCTTATTTAATATATTCGTAGCTACCCTCCGTATCTGGAGGCCGTCTCCTCCATCCGCAACCTGAGGACGCGATATGCAGCAGTGACTTCTGAATTCATCGGCTAAAAATACTCATGAATATAAAAATTAGAGTCGATGTCACATAATTGTGTCCAGCCTGTTACCTCCCTTCTCCTTGGCAGCAATGCCCTGCTCAGAACTTAGTTTAAAAGAAATGCCAGTGTGCAAGACATGGAAGCGCTTGCTGCCACCAATTTGTATGCGCAATAGGTGAGCCTGAAATACTAGCTTCTTTTATTGCTAGTGGGGTGGGACTAAGTCCCTTGTACTGCGGCCACTTCTGGCCTATTGTACCAGCCCCAGATGATAGGTGAGGGTGATTGTGGAGCAATTTGTGGAATGAAGATTGGCAGGGGAAACAGAAGGACTCGGAGAAAACCTGCCCCAGTACAATTTTGTCTACCACAAATCCCACTTGACCAAACTCGGGATCGAACCCCGGCCGCCGCGATGGGAAGCCAGCTACTAACCGCTTGAGCTACGGGGTGGCCGAAATACTAGCTTACTTCAACAGTAATTGTATGTTAAAGTAATTCGATCTTTTCACAGTTTTAGTGTTATGACCAGTAAATATCACCCAAATAAATCATTTCTCCCGCAGTAGAAATATATCAGTTTTCAGTTCTAACGAATCAATATTTCTTCGCAATGGAATTTCCATTTAGTGACAAATTATTAAAACTACAGAGAATTCAGTTTCCCAATGACGACTTCTGTTGCGTTAAAACCACTTAACTACAGTCCTGCAGCGTGGCTAAGGGAGAGTTTAAGTTGAGGCGATTTGCGCACTACTCACTGTGACGGTCTTGAGTTTGATTCTCCAGGCTTTATTCTAAACTTTTCTCATTTCAGTTATATTTTACTACATTATATTAATACATCATATTTATTGTGGCATTTGTCCACCATAAATCAACAGGATCTGACGTGGGATCAAACTAGGGTCCTCGCATTGGGAAGCCAGAGGCTAACGGCCGAGCTATAGCATGACCCTAGAAGGTAGCGGTTAGGGCCTATTTTTTAAGTTATTTTCTTGGAATTTACCTCGAGGACTGAGAAAAACACAAATTACAATTAAGTGAGCAGCTTCTAATCTTTATTTCGAAAGAGGGTTGTCGTGTATATGAAGCAGACGAGCAACAAACATAACCGACTTTCAGTAAGAAAATATGGTCCTTAAATTATTGTAGCTCTGCACGCCGATACATCGCTAATTACTGAAAAACAGGGCACAAAAAAGAAATATCCCATTGCTTGAATGAGAATACTGGCATGTATGTTAGTGACCACAGACGTGTTTTGGATTGGGCGACAAGATTTGTTGACACCTTATACAGTCAACTCGGAACTACACGTAATTACAGCGCTATCGTTATCTCCACACTACAGCCCACTCCACGCTGTCTTCTAATTCTGCTTTCACTTGTCGTATCCTGGCAACGGATAAGTCTCACTGTCAGTACATCATACTATGAAGTCTTCTTTGCACAGCCAAATTCCTTCCTTGCCATTTCTTCTCAATTATTCTGCCAAATGCAAACTCCGAAGACCCTCTCAGTTTTATTCTAGCTGCGTGACATCCTCCTTATATAGCCTCGGGGTGGCCTCAACAGAAAACACCGCTTTCACTGTCGTGTTTTGATTTATTGCTGAAGAGATGTGTTTACCGCACCGTTGCGTAGCAACGCGCGCGGTGTGGACCACAAAAACACCACTCTTCTATTGCTGTGCGCGTTAGCTTCCGCAGGAATGTGTTCACCGAGCCGTTGCCTAGCAATGAATTATCCAGGCTTTCAGGCGTCATGTCTTCGAATTTGTCCCAGAACACATTGTCCTATGGTCTCAGAAGAATAATGCTGAAAGCAGAACAAATTTATCTGGATCACGTTAGATGTGAATCACGTTCCAATACACATCTATTTTTGTTGGATATTAAAATACCCAATATTTCATAAGGCTGATATATACAAAATCCCTTCTTCCCCCGCTGAACGAATATTAAGCTTTCAACGCCAAAATGAATGTTTAATATTGCATGAATAATAGGTTTATAGAGGAGACTAACAGTGGAAACCTTTTAACGTAGTATTACTCTCCAATATTTGTAATATTTCCAGCACGTAGTTACAGGCGCCCGGGAGATGCGTAATTATGAGTAATAGCTTCCACGCATTTCAGCCATTCTCTATAGGAATACGCACAAACCCCAGTCTTATCGAGCAGCATAAATGAGCTCTTCTTGTTGCCCATACCTCAGTGAAAAATATGTACTGTGACAGAGTTCGGGGGTTCCCTAAGTCCAGTTACTATGCTCTGTATAACTTGCAATAAGTCTAAGAGATTAAAAGACTTAGGAAATATGTGATAATGCATATGATATATATGAAGAAAATATGTGACCTTAATTTCTATTCACTAATAGCAACAGCCTGGGTAAGATACACAAAACATTAAGACTCGTTCGTTGAAGTAAATGTTGTACATTGTAGACCCGCTGCTAAGTGCTGACTCTGTAAACAACGACCGCTTTTAGGCAAGAAATTCCCAATAACTAACAATTACACAGCAACAGAGGAGCGGTGTTTTCTGTGTAGTCCGATAAGCAGGATTTAAACAGCAAAAGAGGAACGATGTTTCCTGGGCGGTCCGTACAGGGATATTATAAGCACGACAATTAGTGAGAGTTAGTGGTACAGTGCAGTGCAGTACAGTTAAGTGAAGAGTTGGTTGGTGAGATAGTGAGTTGGTCAGAGAACTGCAGTTCAGTCGTTGTGAGCTGTTGTGTTAGTNATATATATATATATATATATACTATATATATTCTATACTATATACTATTCAGGTGCCAAAGCACATGTTGTTATAAAGTTTGGGGGTCTGAAAAGAATGAGAATGTTTTAAATGATCATATACTCGTATTTTCGTAAGATCTGAATTCCTTATATATATATATATGTTTGATTTGCGATTTATATAA